TTGGGAAGAAGGAGCCAGATGAAGAGGAAGACCTGCTACCTGATGGTTGGACACATTGACTACATGGGGATGACACTGGAGGATCTCACCACACTAGCACAAAGCCGACTTCTTCTTACATCTCCCATTGATCGGGTCGCTAGGACTCAGACCCGAGTTGATGGCATTTAACTCATCATATAGATAAAGTGTGTCGGACAAAACCCTTTCCATTTAGTGATTTAAAGGGAGTCAATGGGAACAACCTCTCAGTGAGGGCAATATGGACCAGAAATGGTGAAAATGTAAAGTTCTCCAGAAACCCAAAGGGGAACATATCAGGGCAGTACAGCATATCAGTGTAGCGCTACCCCTGCAGGATCCACTGGTTATATGGGGTCCTCTGATCTTACCTTGAACCTGGCAGAGACTTCATCACTACTGACACCTCAGGTATCCATGACAGTAGGGAGAGATGAATCATTTTCGGTAATACCTTGGGGTACCCTGAAATGAGACGCGACACGTTGTGGCAAAGTAACAAAGTATATTGTCAGAGTATGTTCAGACAAGCAGAGTATAACAAGAAGGATTTCCTCGTAGCGTACGCTATAATCAGGCTTCGCTTGATAGGGTTAGAGTGCTACCTTACGTTCCAACCAAACCACCATAAACTGCAGATCTACCGAATAAATGAGCTGCATGGGGCCCCGACAGAATGGTACCAATGCAGGAGAGGACTAAGGACACTTGGGCTGAGGAAGCTAGGCCTGGACCTTCTATGAATATGCTGTAAAGTGTGCTCATAGCAGGAATTTGTGTACAGTCTGTAGGGTCTTCTGCCGGCTAAGTCGGGGCCCTTGAAGATGTTGGCGCGTTTGTTGAAGGGAGGGGACAGCGAGTCAATTCTAGAGACAATGGACTCCTTGGATCACTGGCCGGAGAGCGACCAGACAAGGGTTAACACTCTGAAATGTGATGACGGTTGTTTATTATATATTCTGGTCAGCAGCCAGTATTCTGTATATTGTGCCGCGACGCCGGAACAGACAAAACCGCTGAAGATATTACTGGAGGTCTGAAGCATTAGGCTCTGGGCTCTCTTGGGTCCAATGAACATTTTACGTAAGGAACACATAGAAGAGTCTGTAATGTTGGTCCTTGAGGTCCAAGTAAGTTGTGGTTCAGATGCAAAGAGTGCCAAGCAAGAGTTCTTCCACGTCCCCAAGCTTCACATATGGTGACATGGCTCCTGGTTTCTTCGAGAAGCAAAAAATAAGAAGTAAAAGACGATTAAATACAAAAAAAATGAGACACTGTGATAAAAAAATGTCTCCTAATCTGAGAAGAATTTGCATAGTTCTGTCCTGTCTTTAAACCTCAACAATCTCAGGTGGTGCCACAGAAAACACGAGACATCTTCTCACATTCCAGGAATGTTCTGAGGTGGCAACAGAGGAACAGATGGAACCATTGAAGTCATTGCTGGAGGTGTCTGAAATATCAAGCTCTGTCTGGGCTCTCTTTTGGTCCAATGAACATTTTACGTAAGGAACGCATAGAAGATTCTGTAATGTTGGTCCTTGTGGTCTATGTAAGTTGTGGTTGTTCAGGACAAAGTCACGTGATCTGAGATCAACAGAAGGAGGCCACAGTGACCAGATCATCATACTCTTGGAGGCTTCTTCTTTTCACAGTAAGAAGCATGGACTCTTCTTTATTACGGGGCTGACAACGGCTCTCACTGACTCTGAGAAAACGTCTTGGATGCCTTCTCGGTTCAGCGCTGAGCACTCCATGTACTTCACTGCGTGGATCTGCTTGGACAAGCTGACGCCTTGTTGGTAGGTGATTGGAAGCTGCTTCTGCTCTGCTAGCTTTTTGATGACATCCGGGTTGCTTCTCAGATCCTTCTTGGTGCCCACCAGGAGGATGGGAATGTTAGGACAATGGTGGCCCACTTCGGGATACCACTTGTGCTTTACGTTCTCGTAAGATGGTGGATTGGCAATGGAGAAGCAGATGATGAAGACATTGGTCTGGGGGTAAGACAATGTCCTTAGTCCATCATACTCTTCCTGGCCGGCTGTGTCCCACAAGTTTAGGCTCACGGTTTTTCCATCCACAGTCACCTGGGCACTGTAGTTGTCAAACACCAAAGGGATTAACTCATCAGGGAAGGTATTGGTTTGGTAACAGATGCAAAGAGACGTTTTCCCTACAGTTACATCCCCGACTACCACACACTTGATATTTCTGCATGGTATCTGATTGTCCAATCTCAGCCACCTGGAAAAGATATAAGCATGAAGTCAGATGTACGAAATTTCAACATCGAACATACACTGTATTACCCCAAGTATCGGGTGCCGGCCTTTCCACACACACATGACCTTTAATGGCCCCCCAGTCTTAGTCCGTAGGGTTCAATATTGAGTTGGCCCCGCCCTTTCCACACACATGACCTTTAATGGCCCCACAGTCTTAGTCCGTAGGGTTCAATATTGATTTGGCCCCGTCCTTTCCACACACATGACCTTTAATGGCCCCCCAGTCTTAGTCCGTAGGGTTCAATATTGATTTGGCCCCGCCCTTTCCACGCACATGACCTTTAATGGCCCCACAGTCTTAGTCCGTAGGGTTCAATATTGATTTGGCCCCGCCCTTTCCACGCACATGGCCTTTAATGGCCCCCCAGTCTTAGTCCGTAGGGTTCAGTATTGAGTTGGCCCCCGCCCTTTCCCCACACATGACCTTTAATGGCCCCCCAGTCTTAGTCCGTAGGGTTCAATATTGAGTTGGCCCCGCCCTTTCCACACACATGACCTGTAATGGCCCCCCAGTCTTAGTCCGTAGGGTTCAATACTGAGTTGGCCCCGCCCTTTCCACACACATGACCATTAATGGCCTCCCAGTCTTAGTCCATAGGGTTCAATATTGAGTTGGCCCCGCCCTTTGCAGCTACAGTCAGGTCCATAAATATTGGGACATGGATACAATTCTAACATTTTTGGCTCTATACACCACAATGGATTTGAAATGAAACGAACAATATGTGCTTTAACTGCAGAGTGTCAGCTTTAATTTGAGGGTATTTACATCCAAATCAGGTGAACGGTGTAGGAATGACAACAGTTTGCATATGTGCCTCCCACTTGTTAAGGGACCAAAAGTAATGGGACAGAATAATAATCATAAATCAAACTTTCACTTTTTAATACTTGGTTGCAAATCCTTTGCAGTCAATGACAGCCTGAAGTGTGGAACGCATAGACATCAGCAGACGCTGGGTGTCATCCCTGGTGATGCTCTGCCAGGCCTTTACTACAACTGTCTTCAGTTCCTGCTTGTTCTTGGGGCATTTTCCCTTCAGTTTTGTCTTCAGCAAGTGAAATGCTCCATCGGATTCAGGTCAGGTGATTGGCCATTGCAGAACATTCCACTTCTTTGGTGTCTTTTGCAGTCTGCTTTGGGTCATTGTCCATCTGCACTGTGAAGCGTCCAATGAGTTGTGAAGCATTTGGCTGAATATGAGCCGATAATATTCCCGAAACACTTCACAATTCATCCGGCTGCTTCTGTCAGCCGTCACATCATCAATAAATACAAGAGAAGCAGTTCCATTGGCAGCCATACATGCCCACGCCATGACACTACCACCACCATGATCACTGATGAGGTGGTATGCTGAGGACCATGAGCAGTTCCTTCTCCATCCTCTTCTCTTCCCATCACTCTGGTACAAGTTGATGTCGGTCTCATCTCTCCATAGGATGTTGTTCCAGAACTGTGAAGGCTTTTTTACATGTCGTTTGGCAAACTCTAATCTGGCCTTCCTGTGTTTGAGGCTCACCAATGGTTTCCATCTTGTGGTGAACCCTCTGTATTCACTCTGGTGAAGTCTTCTCTTGATTGGTGACTTTGACACACATACACCTACCTCCTGGAGAGTGTTCTTGATCCGGCCAACTGTTGTGAAGGGTGTTTTCTTCACCAGGGAAAGAATTCTTCGCTCATCCACCATAGTTGTTTTCCGTGGTCTTCCGGGTCTTTTGGTGTTGCTGGGCTCACCGGTGCGTTCCTTCTTTTTAAGAATGTTCCACGCAGTTGTTTTGGCCACGCCTAATGTTTTTGCTATCTCTCTGATGGGTTTGTTTTGTTGTTTCAGCCTAATGATGGCTTCACTGATAGTGACAGCTCTTTGGATCTCATCTTGAGAGTTGACAGCAACAGATTCCAAATGCAAATAGCACACTTGAAATGAACTCTGGACCTTTTATCTGCTCCTTGTAATTGGGATAATGAGGGAATAACACACACCTGGCCATGGAACAGCTGAGAAGCCAATTGTCCCATTACTTTTGGTCCTTTAACAAGTGGGAGGCACATATGCAAACTGTTGTAATTCCTACACCGTTCACCTGATTTGGATGTAAATACCCTCAAATTAAAGCTGACAGTCTGCAGTTAAAGCACATCTTGTTCGTTTCATTTCAAATCCATTGTGGTGTATAGAGCCAAAAATGTTACCATTGTGTCCATGTCCCAATATTTATGGACCTGACTGTATAACAGCTTCAACTCTTCTGGGAAGGCCCCCCACAAGGTTTAGGAGGGTGTCTATGGGAAGGTTGGACCATTCTTCCAGAAGCACATTTGTCAGGTCAGGCACTGATGTCAGGGGAGGGGCACTGATATCGGGGGAGGGGCACTGATGTCGGGGGAGGGGGCCTGGCTCGCAGTCTCCGCTCTAATTCATCCCAAAGGTGTTCTATGGGGTTGAGGTCAGGACTCTGTGCAGGACGGTCAAGTTCCTCCACCCCAAACTGGCTCCTCCATGTCTTTATGGACCTTGCTTTTGCACTGGTGGGCAGTCATGGTGGAACAGGAAGGGGCCATCCCCAAACTCCTCCCACAAAGTTGAGAGCATGAAATTGTCCAAAATGTCGCCTTAAGAGTTCCCTTCACTGGAACTAGGGGGCCAAGCCCAACCTATGAGGAACACCCCCACACCATAATCCCCCCTCCACCAAACTTTACACTTGGCACAATGCAGTCAGGCAAGTACCGTTCACCTGGCAACCGCCAAACCCAGACACGTCCTTCGGATTTCCAGACAGAGAAGCGTGATTGGTCACTCCAGAGAACATGTCTCCATGCTCTAGAGTCCAGTGGCGGCGTGCTTTACACCACGGCATCCGATGCTTTGCATTGCACTTGGTGATGGAAGGCTTGGATGCAGCTGCTCGGCCATGGAAACCCATTCCATGAAGCTCTCTACGCACTGTTGTTGGGCTCATCTGAAGGCCACACCAAGTTTGGAGGTCTTTAGCTATTGACTCTGCAGACAGTTGGTGACTTCTGCGCACTGTGCGCTTCAGCATGCACTGACCCCGCCCTGTCATGTGACGTGGCCTACCACTTGGTGGCTGAGTGGCTGTTCCCAGTGGCTTCCACTTTGTTATAATCCCACTAACAGTTGAGCGTGGAATATTTAGTAGCCAGGAAATGTCACGGATGGACTTATTGCCCAGGTGGCCACCTATCACGGGACCACGCTTGGAGTCACTGAGCTCATGAGAGCGACCCATTCTTTCACCAATGTTTGTAGAAGCCGTCTGCATGCCTAGGGGCTTGATTGTATACACCTGTGTCCATGGAGGGGATTGGAGCACCTGAATCACATGGTATGGAGGGGATTGGAACACCTGAATCACATGATATGGAGGGGATTGGAACACCTGAATCACATGATATGGAGGGGATTGGAACACCTGAATCACATGATATGGAGGGGATGGGAACACCTGAATCACATGATATGGAGGGGATTGGAACACCTGAATCACATGATTGGAGGGGATTGGAACACCTGAATCACATGATTGGGAGGGGATTGGAGCACCTGAATCACATGATTGGGAGGGGATTGGAGCACCTGAATCACATGATTGGTGGGAATGGGGCACCTGAATCACATGATATGGAGGGGATTGGAACACCTGAATCACATGATATGGAAGGGATTGGGACACCTGAATCACATGATATGGAGGGGATTGGAACACCTGAATCACATGATATGAAGGGGATTGGAACACCTGAATCACATGATATGGAGGGGATTGGAACGCCTGAGTCACATGATTGGAAGGGGGCGGGGACAATACTTTGGGGCAATATAGTGTATCTGTCAAGGACCCGCCTCCCTACAACCAATCCTTCATATAGGCGGGGGCTGGACAACCAGCTGGTCTCCGTATCATGGTCAGGGACACCGACACCAAGATCTCCATGAATTGAATTGTATGGTCGGTGTCCTGTCTGCCCTCGCGGGGTAAATCGCTGTGCAGACTGTTGGCGCCCATCACATCCTGGATGATAGTCACAATGATTCTAATCTTCGCCCCAAAACAGAGTCTCACTTCTCTAGTAGAAGTCAGTCATGTGAATAGAGGAGAACCCCAACTCTTCAAAGTGAGGAGAACCCCAACTCTTCAAAGTGAGGAGAACCCCAACTCTTCATAGTGAGGAGAACCCCAACTCTTCAAAGAGAGGAGAACCCCAACTCTTCAAAGTGAGGAGAACCCCAACTCTTCATAGTGAGGAGAACCCCAACACTTCATATTGAGGAGAACCCCAACTCTTCATAGTGAGGAGAACCCCAACTCTTCAAAGAGAGGAGAACCCCAACTCTTCATAGTGAGGAGAACCCCAACTCTTCATAGTGAAGAGATCCCCAACTCTTCAAAGTGAGAAGAACCCCAACTCTTCATAGTGAGGAGAACCCCAACTCTTCAAAGTGAGGAGAACCCCAACTCTTCATAGTGAGGAGAACCCCAACTCTTCAAAGTGAGAAGAACCCCAACTCTTCAAAACGAGGAGAACCCCAACTCTTCATAGTGAGGAGAACCCCAACTCTTCAAAGTGAGAAGAACCCCAACTCTTCAAAGTGAGGAGAACCCCAACTCTTCATAGTGAGGAGATCCCCAACTCTTCAAAGTGAGGAGAACCCCAACTCTTCATAGTGAGGAGAACCCCAAGTCTTCAAAGTGAGGAGAACCCCAACTCTTCATAGTGAGGAGAACCCCAACTCTTCATAGTGAGAAGAACCCCAACTCTTCATAGTGAGGAGAACCCCAACTCTTCAAAGAGAGGAGAACCCCAACTCTTCAAAGTGAGGAGAACCCCAACTCTTCAAAGTGAGGAGAACCCCAACTCTTCAAAGTGAGGAGAAGATTCCGCCACAACGGCTTCAGCTTGTAGCTGGGAAATCAGAGTTTGTAGAAGATTTTACCGCCCCCCATCCATCAGACCCTGGAACATGCATTCTGATAAAGCCGATGTTCATATAGTAGATGTAGACATCTAAATAGGTTCCTATAAGCCCCCCCCACCTGCAGACCCCCAAAACCACAGCTCAGGGTGGTGGGGATGAGGACCTTGTCCTCACCTACATGGGGACAATGGGCTTGGCTGAGATGGGGGTCACCCTGGCGGGGCCCCTCCCCATGTTGAGGGTGTGTGCTCTGGGATGGTTCAGGGAGGGGGGTGCACGCTCGCCCTCCCCCTTTCTTGGCCACCCAGGCTACATGCTCAGATTTAGGGTCTGGTATGGATTTCCTGGGGGGGCCGCAGACATTTCTACATTGTGTGAGGGGCCCCCTTAGACTCTGCTGTGTATTTTGGGGGCTCTGTAGGATTCTAGCCGTCCGAAGAATAGAGAGTGAGATGGTTTCTATGGTTACGACTTCCATTGCTGCACACAGACCCCTCCAGAGGACCCCCCAAATACCTAGAAGACCCTTCGGGGGATGGGGGGGGTCTCTGTGCTGCAAGGAAATCCTTTTCTCCTGTAAATATCAGCTTCTCAGGCAGGATTAGGACCCCCCAGAATTAGGACCTTCCCCGGCATTAGGACCCCTGAGGATTAAGACCTCCCCAGGATTGGGACCCCCCTCAGGATTAGGACCCCCCAGAATTAGGACCTTCCCTGGCATTAGGACCCCCCCGAGGATTAAGACCTCCCCAGGATTGGGACCCCCCCTCAGGATTAGGACCATTTAGGATTAGGACCCCCCAGAATTAGGACCTTCCCCGGCATTAGGACAGCTCAAGGATTAAGACCTCCCCAGGATTAGGATCCCCCCCCCAGGATTGGGACCCCCCTCAGTATTAGGACCTCTCAGGATTAGGACCTCCTTCAGCATTAGGACCCCCCAGAATTAGAACCCCCTTCAGGATTAGGACCTCTCAGGATTAGGACCTCCCCCAGGATTTGGACCCCCCAGGATTAGGACCCCTTTTAGGATTAGGACCCCCAGGATTAGGACCCCCCAGGATTAGGATCTCCCCCAGCATTAGGACCCCCCAGGAATTAAGACCCACCTCAGGATTAGGACCCCCTCAGGATTAGGACTCCCCTCAGGATTAGGACCTCTCAGGATTAGGACCCCCCTCAAGATTAGAACCTACCCCCAGGATTAGGACCCCCTCAGGATTAGGAGCCCCCCAGGACTAGGACCCCCAAGGTTAAGGACCCCCCCAGGATTAGGACCCCCCCAGGATTAGGACCCCCCCAGGATTAGGTGCCCCCAGGATTAGAACTCCCCCCAGGAGTAGGACCTCCCCAGGATTAGAACCCTCCCCAGGATTAGAAGCCCCCCCCCAGAATTAGAACCCCCCCAGATTTAGGACCCCCCAAGGACTAGAACTCCCCTCCCCCCAGGATTAGGACCTCCCCAGGATTAGAACCCTGTCCAGGATTAGGACCCCCGGGATTTTATTTGAAGGAATTGGACATTGTTCCCCTTCACACAAATACTAATTGCGGTTCTTCTCTCCGGTACAATCATTCACATTTCTCATTGCTGTTGTGAGGAACCTGGAGAACGTTGTACCCGGGATGGGCAGATGTGACGTCCTGGTCCTGCAGACTGTCCCTGTATCTGTCTGTCCGTAACCCCCCCATACCGGAACCTCCACAATGACAGGGAGCTCCACCAACTACCGAGAGAGCCCACCAGCCTGGGACGTTCACTGAGGTCTACAAACCGACATCTGCAAAGGCTTTTTCCCAGTCCCCGCAGAACTCCCCCAGGACTAGGACCCCCCAGGATTAGGACCCCCAGGCTTTTCCCAGTCGCAGAACTCCCCCAGGATTAGGACCCCCCCAGGATTAGGACCCCCCAGGATTAGGACCCCCCAGGCTTTTCCCAGTCACAGAACTCCCCCAGGATTAGGACCCCCCCAGGATTAGGACCCCCCAGGCTTTTCCTAGCTGCAGAACTCTGCCAGGATTAGGACCCCCCAGGCTTTTCCCAGTCACAGAACTCCCCCAGGACTAGGACCCCCCAGGATTAGGACATCCCCAGGCAAATGGATGACAGGGCAGGGGAGGTGAAGCCATGCATGGGGCAGTGAAGGGGGGGCACTAATATAGAAAGGTTAGCGCAGGGTAGTTCCCCCCAAATGTCTTTGGTTCCTGCCAAGTGGGATAGGACTTGAACCCACAGGGTAAGAGGAGGGATGGGAGGGGGATGGGTATACATGAGATAAAGCATAGAACAGGTGATGGAGAAGGGGGGTGGGGGTGGGAGGTGAGAGAGGAAGACATTATATTGGGGGGGGGACACTAGGACTCCTCACAATGTCATCAGCCCATGCCCTCTCTATGTACCTCAGGACTGAAGGGTTGCCAAGTTCAGAAACCTGGTCAGCAGAGCAGCTATGAGTATTCCAGTCAATCCACTGACCTCAGAAGCTTTCTTCCTTTCCTAGAAGCTCCTCCATCCTTCCAGATCTGAGTGAAGCTCTGAGACAGTGTTGGGGGTCCCAGCTATCACCACCACAAGAGGAGACAAGGCTGAGCTGGACTCATCAGGGAGCATTTCTATCTCCTCTGTGGGGTTATGATGCAAGAGGAAGGAGGCGGGGCCATGTGGGATGACATCATCTGTACATTGTGAAATCACACCTTTCCTAAGCTCAGGAAATCAGGAAGGGAGGGGGAGGGTGCTGCAACCTGACAGTCAGTCTTAGGTGATAGCAGAGAAGCAGGAGATCATCAGCCACACAACTATTGAAGATTGAGTCCATACAAATCGATGGGCACAGCCAAAAGGCCGAGAAGCGATCATGCAGAAAGGCAAGGAGGACAGTAGAGGAGATCGCAGTCTCGTTCCTTGTGAGGACTAAGCCTCTAACCCAAGAGCAGCAAGCCGGTGAAGCCAAAGTTGATGATCCTACAAGGCTGAGCAGAGGGTACCCCACGAGGACCAAAAGGCTTGGGTTGATGGAAGGATGGCATGGATGGAAGGATGACATGGACGGAAGGATGGCATGGACGGAAGGATGTCATGGACGGAAGGATGGCATGGACGGAAGGATGTCATGGACGGAAGGATGGCATGGACGGAAGGATGTCATGGACGGAAGGATGGCATGGATGGAAGGATGGCATGGATGGAAGGAGAGATTGGAGGGGTTGGGAAGTCTGGACCATCTTGGAAGGATGTCATGGATGGAAGGATGGCATGGATGGAAGGATGACATGGACGGAAGGATGTCATGGACGGAAGGATGGCATGGACGGAAGGATGGCATGGACGGAAGGATGGCATGGACGGAGGATGTCATGGACGGAAGGATGGCATGGACGGAAGGATGTCATGGACGGAAGGAAGATGGCATGGATGGAAGGATGGCATGGATGGAAGGAGAGATTGGAGGGGTTGGGAAGTCTGGACCATCTTGGAAGGATGTCATGGATGGAAGGATGTCATGGATAGAAGGATGGCATGGATGGAAGGATGTCATGGACGGAAGGATGTCATGGACGGAAGGATGTCATGGACGGAAGGATGGCATGGACGGAAGGATGTCATGGACGGAAGGATGTCATGGACGGAAGGATGTCATGGACTGAAGGATGTCATGGACTGAAGGATGGCATGGATGGAAGGATGGCTTGGATGGAAGGATAGATTGGAGGGATTGGGGAATTCTGTACTGTCAGTAGTTTGTTTCCTGATAGGAGAGGTAGTGAGAGAGGCGGTTGGGTGGCATACAAGATTGGGTTCTCCTGGCCTCCTGGGAAGGGTATGGATGGAAGGATGTCATGGATGGAAGGACAGAAGGATGGCATGGATGGAAGGATGGCATGGATG